CCCGGTTGTTCGCGGGCATCCGAACCCGACCCGCTGTCGCCGGCATCTTGGATGGCGGTGGTTGACGACGGGGGCGAAATTAGGGTTTCGGTGATTTGGGTATTTTTGGGAGGGGGTTGAGAGGAGAGAGAGAGAGAGAGAGAGAGAAAGAAAATTGTTATTATTTTAATTTGCGCGATAAAATGAAGCGGGCGGCTAAATACACTGGGCTAATAAAAGCCCAAAGAATTACTGGCAAAAAACTAAATGACAAATATGCCCCTACGATATGATGTAATGACCAACGGCCCAGTCTCATTGGAGTCGCTCTATTCTTTGAGCAGCGCCTCCATTTTTCTCGTGGTCAGAGGTTTGAGAAGAGGAAGCGAGTCGAGAGGTAGAAAAAGTGGGAGAAGAGAAGGGGTAAATTACAAGAATACCCTCGATCGGAGAGTTTCCCCTCTTAGATCAATAGATTACGCAAAATCTGTGGTCAGCTCAGATCGCAGGAGCCCTTCTCTAGGTTAGTCTCTCTCTAACCTCAACAAATCTCTTTATCTATTTATTTATTTCGAAAAATTAATTTCTCTGTGTATTGTGACTATTATGGGGTTTTCTCTATTGCAGGAAATTTAGCTCACGATTTCTTTCTATGAGTTGCTAATTCATACTTCTACTGATTACTTGACCTGATTTTGTCTCTATTTTGTAAAATTTTCGAAACCCATATGGAATTCATGCAATTTTTGCTTTCAATCCTGTAAAACTTTGTGAGAAAGCAACAATTTGCACACAAAATCACATTTTTAATTTCAAATATTTTGGGGTTAGAGAAGTTTTGGGAGAATGGTTACAAGTACATGGCTGCAAGCACATAGTTCAAGAATCATGATAATGCAACCATTGCAAACCCCCTCAACCAATTACCCGATTTCTGGCCCTTATCTTCCGACCAGACCTTTAAGAAAACTAGTTCAAGTAAAGGCAAGTTCCACAAATGGAAGCAATGACTCAACTACCACCCCACAATCAAAGAGTCCTATAACAACCGTTCTTGATGTTCCGGTGATTCTATGGAAGAAGACGGTGCAGCCGCTGAGTGATTTTGGGTTCGGTCAGAGGAGCATTTGGGAAGGGGGACTTGGTTTGTTTGTTGTCACTGGGGCAGCTATCTTCGCTCTAAGTATGGTGTGGTTGAGGGGCTATCAGTTGAGGGCTCGGTTCAAGAAATATCAGGCGGTGGTCGAGTTCTCTCAGGCTTGTGGGATTTGTGTGGGGACGCCGGTGAGGATTCGAGGTGTGACTGTTGGGAGTGTTGTTCGAGTCAATTCATCTTTGAGAAGTGTTGATGCAGTTTTTGAGGTATGTGGATGTGTTATTGGTTTCTATCTCAATACTTTTCAAGTGAGACATATTAACATAGATTTGTTCATGTTTTGCTCAAGTCTGATAATATTTTGATTGAGACACGTTCTTTAAAAAAAACTACTTATTGTATGTGTGGAACATATGCTGTTGTATGGGTCAAACTCACCAGTATTCCTCATATATATGATTGAGAGTATTGAGTCAGTTGAAACTTAAAAAAACATTGATGATGCATGTACTTTTCATGGGGCTTTTGCAAAAAAGAAAAGAAAATCATACTAATGGTTATGACATGGAAGTCAGTTTTACTTCTAGTAGAAGAAAGCACATACTTGATATTTAACTTTGCCCCTGTATATGTATTCGTGACTTTAGAGACTTCAAAATTTGAATCTTTTTGGTGTTCTGCAGTTAGTTATCATTGCTTTTTCTCCAAGAAAAAAAAATGTTTATCTTATATGATTCGAACTTTTGCGAGCAAATACCATGGTAGACATCATTATTCTCATCATCATCCTAGGCTAAGCTTTTGTTCTATGATAATGGTTCATTAAGGAGTTGAATTTTAATTAAGAAAATTCCAGAAAATATTTCATGAACAATTATCTCATGTAACAGGTTTGTTAAAAGTTAAACCTTTTCTAGTTGGCGTGGTATTCCTAACCATGCGTCCATGGATAAAATGGGAGGTTGATGTTAGACTTAATGACCAGTTGGTGATGTGAATATTGCATGGCAACGTAAAACCTTTTGTTTTATTGGTACCAACTGTACGATGTATTTGTATAGCTATAGTATATATCTCCATTATCTCTGATGTTTTTATAGTTGAGCGATTATAGAAGAACAAAGAAAAGACATCCATACATGATACTTGAAAGCATGGGATAAAGCATGTGCAGATGAAATGCAACTGCATGTACCATTATGAACTAACTAAATCCTTCATTCATCTATATATGATTATCCCAGCACGGTGCTAACTTTACTGATCCATAAATTCTTGTACTTAGGTCATTATTCTACTTCACTTCCCTTTTCTTATGGTTTCTTTATCCTCTCTGTGGCAGGTTGAAGATGACAAAACTATTATACCTCGAAATTCATTAGTTGAGGTTAATCAGTCTGGTCTGCTTATGGAAACACTGATTGATATTACTCCTAAAGATCCTCTTCCTACACCTTCATTAGGCCCACTTGATCCAGATTGTAGTAAAGAAGGTCTTATTGTTTGTGATAAAGACAGGATTAAAGGAAAGGAAGGAGTAAGTTTGGATGCACTAGTGGGAATATTCACTCGTCTTGGACGAGAAATGGAAGAAATTGGCATTAAAAAGAGTTATGCACTGGCTGAAAAGGTGGCAAAAATTGTACAAGAAGCACAGCCCTTGATTTCAAAGGTTTGAAAGTTTGTTGATTACATCCATTGCTCTCTAGCAATTGCAGTGCCAGGTCTCTTTATTTAAAATATGTTGCAAATCCTGGTAACTTTAATAATTTGCTGACTTTTTGGTCTATCTTTAAGTAATCCATTCCTTATTATGTGAGAAAAAGATTCCAACCTGAATCCACAACTCTAAACTATTGGATAAGGTCGAATCCTTAGAACATAGAAGCAAACAATAACTGAATTTGTGTATGTTGTTTAATGTTCTAGTTAAGTATGATGCATCTCTGGAAGTTTTTCTTGTATTTGTGATTGGTAGAACATTGAGTTTAGTGTGCATCCTTGCCTTCGTGGTTTTCTTGTGCTCGCCTTATATGGTGAAGAGCATGGTTCTATGTTGTGGCATTCTAACAACTGAGGAACATTTGGTGGCTGTGGTGCAAAGCAATGAATATTGTTGCATAGTTCTCTTAGAATGAATACTAAGATGCTGAAAGGGGTCAGAGAGGTTAATTCTTTACCCGCTTCAGTCAATATGTTAACATAACCCTAAAAAGAGTGATAAATCATGTTAAATGTTGAGAAGTCAACTAACCCTTCCCACATTTTAAATCCACATTTATTTTGAAATAGTCATCATTCTCTCCTTCCATATTTCTTAGTCTGGAGGAATGCATGATGGTTTGCTTGTTGTCCATGTCGTCAATGACAGCTCTTTACAGTTGTTTCGAGTTAAAATGCTTTACATTGGCAGTATGTAATTGATTTTGCAGATTGTTTACAAACTTTTTCTTATTCTCTTGGCTGTTGGAGCTGATGATTCATTCATAATTGACAAACAGTTTATATGGTGTGGTTAAAATTTTCAGATTTGAACAACTTCTGTATTTATGCCTTGCACTAGTTTTCGTTTGAGTTGGCAGTATGTAATTGATTTTGCAGATTGTTTACAAACTTTTTCTTATTCTCTTGGCTGTTGGAGCTGATGATTTATTCATAATTGACAAACAGTTTATATGGTGTGGTTAAAATTTTCAGATTTGAACAACTTCTGTATTTATGCCTTGCACTAGTTTTCGTTTGAGTTGGCAGTATGTAATTGATTTTGCAGATTGTTTACAAACTTTTTCTTATTCTCTTGGCTGTTGGAGCTGATGATTTATTCATAATTGACAAACAGTTTATATGGTGTGGTTAAAATTTTCAGATTTGAACAACTTCTGTATTTATGCCTTGCACTAGTTTTCGTTTGAGTTATCTTATGTATTATTTTCCCTTCAAAATTAATCATTTATCTAACTCTACTAGTACATTGGCGTCAATCATCTCATAAAGCATCATAGGTGCCTACTTTTGCTACGAATACTCATTTATGCTCTCTATTAGAATAGACATGTTTCCGTGACAGCATTATTTTTTTGCTGAATTTTTGTGCATTCTCCTTGATAAATACTATCTAAAATGGCATGCCATCATGTTACAGATTGAGCTAATGGCTGAAGATATCCAGCCATTGCTTGTTGAGGTTCGTGATAGTGCGATTTTGAAAGATGTTGAGAGCTTGACGAAAAGCTTGGCTGAAGTGACTGAAGATCTAAGGTACTTCTGATGTAACTGAGAAGTCGGATGTCTTAAGCTGAATTTATCATATTGAACTTACAGAGTAGGCTGCTTGTTTGTCTTTGTATTTATCACCCATCACCAAGAACACTAATCACTGATTGAACATGGTCCGACTGATGCCTAAGATGATAGGAGTGCATAATAGTTGACCTAACTGTTTTCGTCAAAAGTTGCTCTCGTTGTGGAATTCATTATATCTTCAGTCGATTACAACAAATTCAAAAGAAATAGTCTTTTTATAAGACTTCTTTTACACAACAAAATGAAAATTACAACTTCTTAGAAACAAACGCAGGATCGTTGTTTGGATCACTGCTTGCGTGGGATCTTTGCCTGTGCCGGGAGCGCTTTGACTCGTGGACCACCGATTCACAGATTCTGATTGAATCGTGAAGGTTTTGGGAATTCTTCCTCCGTTTATCGAAGTAAGAATTTAAAACGAATATCTTATCGATGTAAGATGTTCACTCTTCCAAAGATCAAGTCTGAGCTTAGATCTCTAGGAATCGCCAAAAGCTTCTTGAGAATGTTTGTGAAGAAGGAAGACTCTCTCTCTTGCTCTAATTCACCAAAAAAACTCAAGGCACTTCTGCTCCAATCTGCTGTCTCCCCTTTATTTCGTGCCTAGGGAGGTATTTATAGGGGTAGGAGTGCACAACAGTTGAAACGGGGGTGAAACAACTGACCAAGTAACTGGGAAAATGCTCAGCCCCCCGTCAATGATGTCCATAGGGGGGTATTTATAGCCTCCTTGGACAATAACTGAAGAAATAGCCGATCAACGACTATCCCTTTGACCGCGACATCCCGGACTGCAGCGGCTATTGGCGCGGCAGCATGGACTGCAGCGGCCACAGGGGCAGTTACCAGCACGTTCCATCGTGCTTGAAACTGTTTTCCCACGACTTTTAACCACCTTTTTCGTGGTTTAACTGCTTGTCCACGTCAGCACGTTCTATCTCTGATATGCCGCCACGTGGACTTCAAATAATCATCATATAACTGTCTTGTAACCACCATAGCACGCCCTATAATAGCCGCTGCACCTTATGCTGTCGCGCCTTAGCCGCGGCACAATATGCTGCCGCGCCATGGCCGCGGCACCATGAGCTGCCGCGCCCGAGCCGCGACACCAAGCGCTGTTTGTTGGTGTGTACATGTTGTCTCACTTTCTTTGAATGATTCACCCTGATTAAGAGAATGACGTTTATCGCCTTTTCTTTGCCTTGAGTTGTATTTGGATGCCTGTAAGCATTTTTTGACGCCTACAGATACCCCCTCCAAAGTATCTCAGACTCATCATTTTTTGGAGAGGAGTCTGGGACACTTTGGATATGATAAGTTTTCCTTGCAATTTCTTCAGTACTTTGTTGAGGAAGTTGCGTAACATAGTCTATGGATGGCTTCAATTCTTGACTTCTTCATCTTTTAGCCTATTCAGTGCTTTGTAGAATAGCTAAAATTCCTCCGGTGCTGCGTTTATCGCGTGGCCTTTGTTGAAGTCTTGAATTTGAACTGCCGTCGAAGAATAGAGAAATAGTTTATACTCATATACTCTATTGGAGTGTTCTGGTCTCTTTTTTGTTGGTAGAGGTGAACCCTAAATCGGAGAGGAAGAATTTTATATTCTATCTCCTGGTCTCTTGTTTGTTGATAGAGATGAACCCTAAATCGGAGAGGAAGAATTTTATATTCTATCTCCTGGTCTCTTGTTTGTTGGTAGAGATGAACCCGAAATCGGAGAGGAAGAATTTTATATTCTATCTCCTTGTGCAAAAGAAACTCAAAGTGGGATCTCCACTTAGAGAATCTGGACTGATTTGAATAATCCTGACTGTCATAAGGTTTGATTATTCAATTCAAAAGTGGACCTCTCGTTCGTGGAATGAATCGAGAAGAGATGTTGGTTATGGTCCTAACTGGAGTAAGGTTTGACCAAGTGGGAGTTTGGTACGATCCTAACTGTTTAAAGGTTTGATCGCTCAAGTTGTGGACCTCTCGTTCATGGAGGGAATCGAGAGAGGATTTTGGCTTTGGTCCTAACTGTTTAAAGGTTTGATCAAATGGGAGTTTTGAGACGATCCTAACTGTAGGAAGGTTTGATCGCTCGATTTGCGGACCTCTCGTTCATGGAAGGAATCGAGAGGGGATTTTGGCTTTGGTCCTAACTGTTTAAAGGTTTGACCAAATGGGCAGTGAGACGATCCTAACTGTTTAAAGGTTTGATCGTTCAATTTGTGGACTTCTCTTTCATGGAAGGAATCGAGAGGGGATTTTGGCTTTGGTCCTAAGGGCTTGTTTGGATTGAGGGGAATGAGGGTGAAGGGAAGTTAGGGGAACCATTCACCTCCATTCACCTTGTTTGGGAACACTTAGGAGGTGAAGTTAATTCACCTCCATTCACCTTGGTTCACCCCCTAATAGTATAAAAATTGTTACCCCCCAAATTGGGGTGTAACCAAGGGGAAGGGAATTCCCTTCCCTTCCCTTTCTTTCCCTTCCCTTCCCTTCCCTTAGTTTTCCTTAACTTCCCTTCACCCCCTACGAATCCAAACAAGTCCTAACTGTTTAAAGGTTTGACCAAATAGGGGTTTGAAACGATCCTAACTGTTTAAAGGTTTGATCGTTCAATTTGTGGACCTCTCGTTCATGAAAGGAATCGAGAAGGGTTTTTGGTTTTGGTCCTAACTGTTTAAATGTTTGACCAAATGGGCAGTGAGACGATCCTAACTGTTTAAAGGTTTGATCGTTCAATTTGTGGACTTCTCGTTCATGGAAGGAATCGAGAGGGGATTTTGGCTTTGGTCCTAACTGTTTAAAGGTTTGACCAAATAGGGGTTTCATGGAACGAATCGAGAGGGGGTTTTGGCTTTGGTCCTAACTGTAGGAAGGTTTGACCAAATGGGAATTTGAGACGATCCTAACTGTTTAAAAGTTTGATCGTTCAATTTGTGGACCTCTCGTTCATGGAAGGAATCGAGAGAGGATTTTGGCTTTGGTCCTAACTGTTTAAAGGTTTGACCAAATAGGGGTTTTGTGAGGGAAGATTGATTTAAAGAAGTGATCGAATCTCATCTCAACAAAAGAGTATTCGGAAATCACCGTGGGGATATAGTGTTTATTTACTTGGCTTGTTCCGCCGTTATGACACCGGAGTCAATTAAGGCTTGGATTTTGTTTTTGAGTCCAAAGAAAATCTCGGTGGGATGAAGAACCCTTCTGAGGTACGCACAATAGTTTGGATCCGTAACCCTCTTAGCTCCCTCCTGATCTTTAATAGGTGGTAGCTCGATTTTGTCATTGGCGAGGAGGTATTTCAAGATGGCTGGAGCTTCATCATCTTCGAAAGAATACTCCTTTTGAAACCTCAGATCGGGAGTCGCGTTCCCAGTGATTGCAGATGTCATCGGTCGGCTTCTCTCAGCTTTCTTTCTTTTAAGAAAGTGTTCAGCTTGTTCGCCACGTAGTTTTAACTCTTTCCAAGTTTTGGATGGTACGACCCCCAGAGCTTCCAAGACATTGATGGAGAGATTATTATGACATGTTTGCAGGATGAACTCTTCTGTAACAGGATCTCTGCAATTCATTGCTTTGTTACGGAAGCGCTTGACAAAATTATCGACTGACTCTCCGTCTTTCTGCTTCTCATCTAAAAGGGTTCCGATCGACACTTCGGTGTTATCATCGAAGAAATTGCTGAGGAACAAACTTTTTATGTCATCCCAGCAATTGATGCTCCCTGGCTTGAGACGTCGGTACCAATCGAAGGCGGGTCCACGAAGGGTGCCAACGAATGACCGGACCATTAAAGCCTCATTTTCAGAGATCATGCCCAAATAAGACTTGAAATAAATCAAGTGCTGAGTAGGCGAGCTCTTCCCATCAAATGGTGTGAAGTTAATCAGATTGAACTTTGTCGGGTACGATATTGAATCCCATTCTTTTGGATAGGGACACGGAATACCCGTCTTCTTTACTTCCTGGGCGGACATCAAAGCATTAACTTTGTTTTCAAGGTCTTGCATTTTCTTGTCCTCATCTTCATCTCTCTCTGAGTGATGTTGAGCAGAAATAATTGGGCTACCCCCAGTGTTATTAAACGGTGCAATTGAACCACCCTCAATATTGTTATTGGGAGAATTTGTTGAACCACCCCCAGTGTTATTGTCATTGGAAGGTGTATCAGTCATAATGATTTCATCCACTTCTGGATCACTGTCATCTACAACATTCTGAGTGTAGCGGCTGGATTCAGCTCGCTGACTAGACTCAGGAGGTTGAGGCCGTTGAGTTAGCAATTCTCTCATTTGTTGGATAGCTAACTCCATCTCTGTCTTTATCTCAGCTCTAATTTCTTCACGTTGCTTCGCTAGAGCTTCTTGAAGCATTCGAGCAAATTGATCGGAGGTGATCGTGAATACTTCTCTGGTTTGCCCTGTGCTAGATATGGTATCATCCGAAGCGATCGCAGAACAAGTGTCCGAGAGTTCATCCTCCGAGGACATTCCTTCTTGCATTTTCTTGTAATCTCTCTGTCTGATAGCTCTTAACTGGAGTCGAGACATCCGTTGGGCAATTCTTGAATTGACTTTTCCTCCTGGGGAAAAATCGGGATTTGATTCATTTGAATGCCGCTTAGATTTTCCTATATCAGCCATATTGATGGTGACTTCAGGGAATTCATCCTCTTGAATAGCCAACTTCTTACTAAAACGTCTCGGCCTGGGCTTTGACATTTCGGTGAAAAGCCTCTGGAGCACTGAGACTTTTTGCGGGATGGCTTCTCGTTTGGCGTAGTTATATTCCGTCAATACTGCTCTAATGAGTCGTGCACAGGAATAATGAGAGCTTATTTCTCGAATAACTCTCTTTCGAAATTTATTCACACCCCCAACTTGATAATACAATTCATCGGTATGATTGCCAAAAAATCGCATCGTCTGTTGGCATGACCTCTCAGGTATGACGATGTCATT